TTAGGAACTACACAGGAGTTAATGTCATAATTAGTAGCTACACAGGAGTTAATGTCGTATAATTAGTTTAGGAACTACACAGGAGTTAATGTCATAATTAGTAGCTACACAAGAGTTAATGTCGTATAATTAGTTTAGGAGCTACACGGGTTAGTGTCATATAATTAGTTTAGGAACTACACAGGAGTTAATGTCATATAATTAGTTTAGAGCTACACAGGAGTTTATGTCATAATTAGTTTAGGAACTACACAGGAGTTAATGTCGTATAATTAGTTTAGGAGCTACACGGGTTAGTGTCCTATAATTAGTTTAGGAGCTACACAGGAGTTAATGTCATAATTAGTTTAGGAACTACACAAGAGTTAATGTATAATTAGTTTAGGAGCTACACGAGTTAGTGTCATATAATTAGGAACTACACAGGAGTTAATGTCATAATTAGTTTAGAGCTACACAGGAGTTAATGTCATAATTAGTTTAGGAACTACACAGGAGTTAATGTCGTATAATTAGTTTAGGAACTACACAGGAGTTAATGTCATATAATTAGTTTAGGAACTACACGAGAGTTAATGTCGTATAATTAGTTTGGGAACTACACAGGAGTTAATGTATAATTAGTTTAGGAACTGCACAGGAGTTAATGTATAATTAGTTTAGGAGCTACACGAGAGTTAATGTCGTATAATTAGTTTGGGAACTACACAGGAGTTAATGTCATAATGAGTTTAGGAACTACACAAGAGTTAATGTCGTATAATTGGTTTAGGAGCTACACAGGAGTTAATGTATAATTAGTTTAGGAACTACACAAGAGTTAATGTCGTATAATTAGTTTGGGAACTACATCTACTTAAGATGACATGGAGTTTTTCGGTTTTTATGAACTATTAAATTTTTATTTGAATAAACGTTATTCTAGTACAGTTTCATGCGCTGAATTAAAAAATATATGCATTTCTTTGGAGAAACAATAAGAAAATACTGAAATATCATACTTAATTTTCTTAAACAGATTTTCGTTTCTGTGTTACGCCAAATGAATTCACACAGATGAAAGTCTATAATGTCGTAGTCCACCACAGTACCTCTGTTTATGTGAAGTTCAACTTTGCAAAATTTGATGCTCGTATATTCTTTGGACCAACAATATATAAATATAGTTAATTTTTTCAGAGGGAGCGTTGTTCCTGCTAACCCTCCTAATCCAATGGGATTCGTTACAGGAACTTTTTTCTCATCTCCACATAGTTCGGTCAGGCAGAAATTTGATGTGCATTTGGTGTTTTCTATGACACATCTTTTTTTCGGGGATAATTTTGAAGGATTGCAAAAAATGTACCAATTGTTCTTCGGACTGTAAGTTTGTCCATAACCATTGTAAATTAATTTCCATTTTTATCTGTAAAACCTGTAAAGAACAATATTACGTTTAATCGCCCTTTTCAGTACTTTCTTATCATGTCTTTATAGAAATACGTGTATTTCTAAAGTCATCTTAGTAAGTTGTTGCCAACTATCTTCAACACAAATTCGTCGAACATATATGCAAGTTTCGCACTATGTCGTAATGAACTCTTCCATCCCCCCCCAAAAAACTCACCAACACACGCCTTTTTATTTCATTATCATAAGACGTTCTAGTTAAAAATGAAAGGTTGAAATGAACACTTA